TTTATGTAATTATCCTTCTTTTTTTAATACAATTCAATCAAAACCTTAGTCTCTCTCTTCCGCTGTTTAGAAAACAGGGCCAAAATCGAGGATGGACGCCGGCAATGGAACTCCGGTGAACGCTACTTTCTGCGTGACTGGCTCTACCGGCTACATCGGCTCCTGGCTCGTTTGTTCTCTCCTCCGGCGAGGCTTCACCGTTCATGCAACAGCTAGAGACACCGGTATGTCTATTTCCTTTCCTTTCCCTTTCTAAAACCTCATATATGCATGGCGGATTAATCTAAATAGAATGATACAAGGCAAGGCGTCCTATCTTCTATCACTCCCGAACGCTTCTAACCGGCTAAAGATCTTCAAATCGGACCTCAGCGAGGAAGGGAGTTTCGATGAGGCCGTGAAGGGCTGCGTTGGTGTGTTCCACGTTGCTGCATCTATGGAGCTCAGCGTAGAGCATGAAGAAGCCATTGGTACTCTTTTTTACTTGCTATTGCTTTCTAAATGTTTGCAGGATTAGTATATTAAGAAGGGAATGATTGAACCCTTTTGGACGAGGAGGTGCCAGATGCGATGATGGAGACAGCAGTGAAGGGGACAGTCAATGTCCTACAAGCTTGTTTAAGATCCAAGTCTGTGAAGAAAGTTCTTTTCACTTCTTCTATCAGCACAATCTCAGCAAGAGAAGAGGGAAGGGGATGGAGATCTGTAGTTGATGAATCATCTGTTAACCCTATTGATTTAGTTCTGAATACTAAGCCTTGTGGATGGGTGAGTATCATTATTTTGTCTGATAAGGATGATAAAGAACTTCAATTGTCTAAATGAACTTGGGAATGTTTGAGTAGATAAGAAGGCCTAAAATACTTGGCTTATTCTAAAATACTTGGCTTATTCTAAATGGCATTAGATCTTTAAAAAAAAGGCCTTAATTTTTTATGAAATTCCTCTTTAAGTCATTTTATGCACATAGTTTGCTTCAAGTTTAAATCCTTAATTTGGTTTCTTATGAACCTTTTTTATAAGATTTTCTCCTTTCATCTTTGATCACCTTATCTTATATTAGTTAGTTTTTTTTTCTACTTTAAACTATGTATCTATAAGAAGCACCTTTCGTTGTTTAGTCAAAATTTTTAGAAACATATAATTTTGTTGGAATAAGAAAAAACTTCTTTAATCCAATAAAAGCAACTCTATTTGTGATTTAGAAGTTATTTTTTGAAATGAATTAAGTGTTTTTATTGTTTTTTTTTGGTTTTTGTTCACAGTTGAAACTCATATTCTTCAATAAACCAATCTAGGGCCTTTTAATAGGATTTATCATTAGATTTATTAAATCCAGGCCAACAGTTTCGTGGTTTTGTAAACTTTTGGATTTAAAATCCAAAATTTTACCATCGATTCGACTTAAATCCAAATTTATTAAACCCAATGATAGGATGGATTTAACGGATTTACGATTTATGGATTTTTTGGATTTAGAATCCAAAATTTTACCATCAATTCGACTTAAATCCAAATTTATTAAACCCAACGATAGGATGGATTTAACGGATTTACGATTTATGGATTTACTAAATCCGAATAACACTAAATATAAAAAGAAAAACTTAATTTCTCTAATCATGTTCTGTTTCATTATCATGCTTTAGGGTGTTAAATTGGGTTTGAGGGTCAGGTTTGGGTTTGATCCAAAGTTGACCAGACCCAAAATTACTTGGCTCAAACCCAACCCTAGAAGTGTTAGAAAGTCAAAAAAAAGAAAAAAATTGAAAAGAAAAAAATAGAAAGAGTTAGCACGAGTAAAGATAAATTTTAAACTACTAATCTTAACCCTAAACCTAACTCGAACTTGACCCACCTTTAATCCGCCGAAAAGAAAAAAAAGGAATTGGCGAAAATTTTGAAAACGTTTAACGTTTAGGGTTAGTAGGATTTAGTAAAGGCAAAATTTTAAACTATTACACTTAACCCTAAACTCAACTTGAACTTAACCCGCCTTCAATCGGCCGACCCGAACTCGACTTTTAAAACCCATTTAACATAAGATAATAACTATTTGAGTTGATTTTGAGTTAAAATTGGGTCAATATCGGTCGATTTTGATTTGGCGTGTCTATTTTGTGTTAGCGGGTCAATATTGGGTTGGCAAGTTGACCCGAATCCGACCAGAAAATTAAATTTGTTAGGATTTCTAAACCGAACCCTACCCAAATACTATTTGGGTCCACATAAACTTGTATTTTTTGAGTCGAGTTGACATGTCGGATCAATTTTTGACACCCTTACTTTAGTATTCATCTTTAAGGACCCTTTTTTATCTTGCCAACAATCATTATTCGTTCGTCCTAAATTATATGGAGCTATAATTTATTCATTCATTCCCAAAGAAGTATAAATTTAAATTGCACTATAAGCATATGAGTCGGGCAATAATTGGATTTGTTTTATCTTCATTTTGTTTTTTTTATTTACCATTGAAACAAAAAACATAATTTTATGATTTAATTTCTTTTCATTTCCAGTAACAAAAAATAGAAAATTTGTTTGGCAAAAAATGTAATAAATAAATAACTATATATATATATATATATATATATATATGTGTGTGTGTGTGTGTGTGTGTGTGACGGCATCAAATCTGCAATCATTTAATTGTTATATTTAGTAGTTCATAATCATGTTTAAATTAATAGCTGCATCGTCATCCAATAAATTTAATTCTTTATTACAATTATCCCGAAATTATTTTTAACAACAAATACCTTAACAGTTTAAACCATACTAATCACACGCAATAACTTACTGTGGATAATATATATATATATATATCTGTGTGTGTGTTTGTGTTTGTGTGTTTGTATCTTAATTAAGTCAAAGCATTAAAAATAATCTTTTTTAGTACTGGTAATCCTAGTGACTAGAATCATGCTAATGAACCCGTTAATCTAATTTTCAAAGCCTGATTACTGAAATAATAAAAAAAAAAACTATAAAAATTTTTTAATCTTAATTAATTCTCTTATTAATCTGTGTAGCATTACCATATAGTTGGTGTTAATTTTATTAATTATCCTGTAGTTAATTTGTATAATTTAACACTAGTAAAAATAATATTGGTTTTAATCCTAACACTAATTAATCTCTAATAGCCTAGTCAGTCTATATAATTGAATCATGCCTGTTTCCAAAGGTTGTTTTCTTACTTGAGTGCCTCACAAACGACCATAAGATGGAAGTGAATTCAAATAAGAACTTATCAATTCCAACAAGATTTCATTTTACTTTATATGGTTTGTGTTGTAATAGTGTTTCATTTATTGAGATGCAGGTCTATGTTGTATCAAAAATTATGACAGAGGAGAAGGCATTTCAATTTGCTAAGGAAAATGGTATTAATTTGGTGTCCATCATCCCGCCTACAGTGGCTGGTCCATTCCTAACTCCCTCTGTGCCTGTCAGTATCAAAGTTCTATTATCCCCTCTCACAGGTAGTTCACAACTTGAATAAAGAAGGAAATATTATGATCTCTGCAATCCATAAACAGCATCAAGAAGCTTTTACAGTCTGTTTCATCATTACTTTGGTTTGAGTTTTCAATTGATCTACTGCTACTTGTGTTGAGCCTTTTATAAATCCTTACATCAACCCTCAAAAATTGAGGATTCAACCTTGTTTCTAATATGATGCAAATTTACTATTTGCACAAACAATAATTAATTGAGACAAGCAAACCATCTTAAAGAAATCTAGTACTTACATATATATACATCTCCTCTCACAGAATATACATACATACATACATACATACATACATACATACATACATACATACATACATACATACATACATACATACATACATACATACATATGTATGTATGTATGTATGTATGTATGTATACTCTGTGAGAGATGTTAGCAGTAGTAGATCTAGTGACAGAGTTGTAACTATGGACAGTCAAATTATTAAAAGGTGCCGACGTTTTAGATATCTCGTGTCTATTGTTCAAAGTGATGGTGATATAGATTGGGATGTTATTAGTAGAATTCAAGTTGGTTGGCTGAAGTAGAGGAATGCTTCAGGTCTATTCTGTGATAGAAAAGTACCGCTTAGACTTAAAAGAAAATTTTATGAGATGGTGGTGAGATTTGCAATGTTTTATGGCACAGAATGTTGGCCTTTCAAGAGAAGCATAAAGCTAAGTTAAGTGTTGTTGAGATGAGAATGCTTAGGTGGATGAGTGGCTTGACACTTAGAGACAAAATGCTAAACAAATGTTTTCTTAAAAGGGTTGGTGTAGCTCCAGTGACAAACAGGATTAGAGAGTCATCTTAGATGGTTTGATCACATTAAATGTTGACTATCTGATGATCCGGTTAGGAGAGTAGATGTTTTAGATTTGATTAGGATAGGAAAAGTAGAGGTAGATCGAAAAGGATTTGGGCATATTGTATAAAAAATGATCTTAATTTATTAAAATTAAATAAAAATATGTCACTCAATAGGACACAATAGAGAAAAATGATTCATGTAGCCGACTCCACTTAGTGGATAAAGGTTTGTTATTGTTATTGTTTTTCTATTCTGTTTTTCTAAATTTCATTCATTGATCATCATATTGAATTCTTCGTATCTCTGCTTCTCAGGTGATCCATATCTCTATCCAGTATTAATAACAGTGCACTCCAGATTGGGATCAGTCCCATTAGTCCATATTGAAGACTTGTGCAACGCACAGATATTCCTCATGGAGAAGGACTCAGCTGAAGGCCGTTACATCTGTTCTGCCGGCAGCTCCACATTGCCTCAACTGGAAGAACTTTTATCTGAGCATTACTCATCTTTCAGCTGTAAAAGGCAAGTGTTTTACTGCTTAAATGATTTTTTTTAAGGAAAAAAGAAGTGGATTTAAATGGTTTTGGAGGGCTATTTTAGTCCCAAATTATCCAATACATTCAATTTAGTCATTTTACTCCTCAAATTTGATCCAAATTTGTCCATTCATTTCTCAAATTCATTCTAAAATAATCCAATGGAGAGATTTTTTTGGATTATATTTTAAGATTAGAGGAATTAAAAAAATTGAATAAATCAGACAGCTAAAACTATGACCTCGTAAAATTGGGTTGGAACCAACTTTATTTTTTAGGGTGGCCAAAATCACTAAAGTTTTGGGAAAAAAACATATATCGAGGGCGTAGAATTACTAAATTGCCTAAGGTACATAACAAAAATTATTATATATTACTACTTGTATAGAAAGTTTCAAATTCCAGGGTAGACAATTGCCCACCTTGGACATAACTTGATTCCGTCTGTGTACAAATAGCTCAAGTTCATTTTGATCTTTTTCTTAAAAAGCCTTGCTAAATTTGCACGTCCCAGGTACACAAAGGAATCACATGATGGAGCTGCATCAATAATTTCCTCTAAGAAGCTAACAGACTTGGGTTTTGAGTTCAAGCATGGCATCAAAGGTATTGTTGAGCAGAGTATTGCTTCTTCTACTGAGGTTGGTTATTTATAACTTTCCAGCTTAACAAAATATTTTTCTCTGCTTCTTCTTGCTATGGATGATCAGTGCCGCATCAACTTAGCAACCTCCATTAACTTATTCTATATAAATAAATTTCCTATTCCTAAGTTTGATCTCACATTCATTGGTAATGCACTTTTATTTCAGATTATGTTAAAGATGAGGAATTGGATGAGAAGTAGAAATTATTTTTATTAAAAATGTGGATGCAAACTAAGATCGTGTTTGGTAGCATCCTATTAATTGGATTTAGCGATGGATTTAACTTAAATCCCGCCAAACATAAAAAGATCACAAAAAAAAGAACAAAATGAAAATTAAATTTAACGTTCCATTAAATCAAATTTTCTAATTTTTATCTGTTTTTGCTCGTGTTCCGTGTCTTTGACAACTTAAATCCAGATTTATTGAATTTCATTGTGTGGCAAATTTATTCCGTCGTCGCTGGCGAGCTCCGCCGCTGCAGATAAATCTGGATTTATTGGATTTAATAGATCCTGTTTAACGTAAATCTAAGTTGCAGCCAACACCGCCTAATTGAATTACAAATATGACAAATTAGTTTTCTTAAGGATATGCTTTCTTAGTTGTAGTGAACATGAAAAGAAAATTTTATTAATTTTTTTATTGAGACTTACATGTATTTTTTTCCATAAGAAATAAAAATAATAATTTTCATCAATCGAAGTTATATCCATTTTTTTCTCAACCAAACAAATATATCTATCTTCAACCAAACTTTTTTTTTCTTTTAACTTCTTTTCTCACTTTCTTTTCGGTAAAACTGCACAGAGGATGTATTAATTAATAAAAAAAAAAGTAATTTACGTACATAATACAAAATTCTTATATTTTTACATATCTAACACCCAAACTTTGATATTTAGAATTCTAACACTTAGATACATAAATTCATGTATAACAAGATGTATTTGACTTTTTATAACTTTGTGCTAGTAATAGTTTTATGTGCTGTTGAAAATGTGTGTGTTATACATGTACGTATAAATATTTAGATGTTGACATGTTAATACGTAAGAAATGCATGACACAAAAAAATCACTAATTCAAAATTACACTTTTCTTAATTAACTTTTGATTCATAGGAGGTTAGATGATATTGTCTTTGACGTTGCAAAGCTGCAAAGATAACTGGACGTCGACGCAAAAGTACTTCGAGATATGAAATTTGGTTAAAAAAACAAAAAATGGAACACAACAATTTTCATAAACTGTCTCTCGATGGGCAGCCAAACACCCCCTTTAAAGAATGATATCTGTTTAGCATCACTTTTAATTTTTTATGTTCTGTTTTATTTTATTATGTGTGTGTGTGTGTGTGTGT